CTTAGATGTCTTCGAATCATTGCTCGTATATCCTGGGACAACTGAGTAAACAGTGCTATAGTTAGGAAACGGGTCCTAGGTAAGGGTGGAAGGTCAGTAGATGAAGTAGTGGAACTTTATCAGTTGAGGTACTTGGGACATGTGTTACGAAAGCCCAATAACTGACTGCCTCGACGAGCTATGTTTTATGGTGTAGGAGTAGGTTAGATGAAAGTTAGGGAAGGGGCGGCAAAACCAAAACATGGCACAAATCCATGAAATCACTGACAAGTGGAATGAGTCATGTTGGTAGATGCAGGCTACCTGGTTGGGGATTTGAAGTGACAAATCGATCTGTGTGCTAATATGGTATGGCAACGTGAACTGATGTACACACATAAGAAGTTCTATATTGCAGTTGACTGACTGACACAGTGAACACTTACTTAGCATAGGCTTTTTCTAATAAAGCTGGCCAAAATTCCTTTGCACTAGAAGATGACAAAGATATACACTTTCCATCATAACAAGGTAACAAATCATCAATTGTCACTTCAAAATACATGCCTTCTTGCCAAAATCGAAAACGAAAAATTCCTGGATGTTCATTTACATGTTGTACATCCCATTCTTGAGATTTCACATCAACAAGTACCTACAATTATAAAAATCATCTAATAAATATTATTCCGAACTTACTTTTGCCCAATATTTTGCTTTGTATTTTAGACCAGTGAATGCAAGAAGAATATTGAAATTTTTTACAAAACCACTTTTTAAACTAAAATATGATTCATTTCGACTGAAACATGGATCAGAAACAATTTCCGAAGGTCGTAAGTAACTTAAAGGACCAGCAGGTACATTAAGACATTGTAAATTCATTGATTCTGGTGGGAATTCATCGTCTACAAATTTAACTCCTCTGGCTAATTGTTCTTTCTTTAAAGTAGAATAGTCTTGATTTCTAAACTTGACGAAAGCTGTTTGCGACATATTTGTTTCTTGACTAGACAACACGTAGTTTTGTTAAACGTAACATAAATTGTCAGAAAAAGTAGTAATACTTTTGAATTCTATAGAATTGTTTGTACTGATATAAGTTTTCTACGAATAAGAGGAAAATACATATAAAAAAGGATCTTTGAATGCATATGAACTTTAATACAGTAACAGATGATTTTCTTAGCATTTTCCTGTTCTGTTTTATTTATTTCAGTAAAATTTCATTTTCAAATTAACCGTGACTTGATTATTTGCCAATTTTACTTTAGATATCTACTAACTTGCTTAGTTTGAAAGTTGTTAACTCAATGGATTGATGGCCATGTGATCGTACAGCCATCCATTATATTTTTCCAACTTATTATTACAGCAACCAGTATTACACATAGAAGCAAGTGGTGGTTAGGCATATGTAATACATTTTCAAACTACCACAGTTAATAAGGCCTCATCAATTAATTTTGTATGAGAAAAGAGTCGACAGAAAAAGTAGTAAAATGAAATAGCGGAAGCTTATTGAGAAAAATTAGACTACCACAGAAAAAACCTAGTTAGAAAAAGTTTAATGACAGTGTATCAACCTGATGCGCTAATAAACCAGGTTTCGGAGCACATCAAAGGAGATTACATTTACATACAAACCATATGAAGAGTCACTGACTTCATGTTCTGTCTTCGGTTAACCGTTCTATCGATTTATCTGACTAACCCGGAAACTCGATATCCTTAATACATAAAGTGGCCTCTTTGATTAATTTAGTTTGAAAACAGAATAGGTTAGACTACTTCACTTACACAGAATTCCACGCCAAACTTGATATTACTTACTTTTCGGTTCTACCATCAGCTAGTAACCCTCTGATAGAATATCTGTATTTTTATATCTACTTATTTCTGTCTGTTATTTTGAAGCGAAATAGTAATTGTCAAATTCAATTCATCCATAACAGACGCTAAATACTGTGAACCGGTAGTTATTAGACCCGGATTATTTAGAAGTATGAGGACGTTTGTAGAACTGAATAAAGTTAGATATGTAGCATGGTATGGTGTGAAATGAGTTGTAGTGGCCCAGATAAATGTATTCTCTATCCTTTCCGCATAACAAGTTTTAACGTTATTTTACTTTAAGTTCTCCAATTTTATTCCTTCTTTCCAATTATATTTCTTATGTTGTGTTTTTTCGTACTATTCGCGACACTTCTATTATATGAACTCATGTACAATTAGGTCTGTTGATTTGATTTCGATTGCACATTTGTGCCTAGCCTGACTAAAATAATCGTCAATAAATGTGGAGTTATACAGCTATCTAGGTAAAATTAACTTCACCAAATTTTAACCACTTACATTGAACTTAACAGTAGGTCAAAACTAATTATAATACTTCGACTAATGAATTCCAAGAGATCAAGGGCTCTCAATTAGGGCTCGTTTTTCAAGGCATGATTGTACCATTTATGTGCCAAAAACTTTGGATAAGCGACCAGCTACCATTGTTAGCAGGTATATAATAAAGTTGATCGGGAATAGAAACGAATATTCATGGCAGAAGTCAGTAGTCTCTATCACCTAGGATTTATTACTCCATATGCTTATCTGTAAAGTTTTGAGCTAAAACGAGAATCTTGAGAGCCCATGTATTTTCAAGAAATGGATGGCAGATATGGACAGGATACCTCCTTACCAACGGAGTCGAATTTCACCTTCAAAAAGTCTAAGGAGAAGTTAGAGGCATGTGCATGTTTCAATATTAAAACGCGGTAAAGATATGTTTGACAGACAGGATCAATAGCATGTCTTTTTCGAAACTGTTGGGTTGAGTATTGTGCCACAATCTGATATAACTTAATCTAAATTCCAACATATTACCCAATTCGCTTATTGTCAAAACCGATCAACACTGTGAAGTAGCTGCTGTTGGACTATTAACATCTACCTTGTGTTCAACTTGAAGGGAACGACATAACCAGCCAAAAATGGCTGCAGACTAGTTTGGTTTTTGACTGGTTTAAGGCACACATACCGAAGGCTTCGCAACAATAATATATATACTCGTCAGATATCTGACATGTTAAAAAGCATACACATGTGCCACTTTTTCATGCCGCGTAGTAGGTGGAAAAATTTTCCTAACAACAAAAGTGCAAAAATGGCTACTCGAATAAACAATATAAAATATCTTCGACCGGATTTGTTGTAAAAGGGTTGGTTTCTTTGTTCTTATTCCTGTTACAGCATAAGTAAGTACATCATACTCCGAAGTGTTTAACTTTATTTGACACTCAAACATGCCAAAAATATCGAAAAATTAAAATTTATGTCACTCAAAGTGATCTTTCTCTGGAGTAAATCACACATTCGTCGGATAGGCGATATAGCGGCACACCGAAGTACCGGTTTCAAGGGCACGATTCAACAAGACGCCAATTTCACACCCGATATCCAATATCCAATATCTTTTTCACGAGCTAGTGTAAACCAATTTGATTTCTTCGCGCTCGATTCTTGTTCTTTCGGTACGGTTCCAGGTGTTCGGTAATATCCAATGGATGGAGGTCTAGCCACTCAACTGTCTAATTCTAGTCAGTTGGCAGTTGGTTGTGAGTTTGTATGTCTCGGGATTTGAACGAAAACGTTTGTTTCAAGGCAGTAGGTTTTCTGGATACTAGCAGCCGTCATATTACCAGACAGGAGATTAGTTAGTTGCAATGTGGAGAGTAATTAAGGATTATAAGGATAAAATTCTAATGCTAATATGAATAAAATTTCAGAACTGAGTAATATGTAGATGAATTTTTTTTGTTAATTGGTAGTGGAGAGTGTGAGGGAGGACCGTTGTGTAGGCAACGGAGAGGAAACAAATATAATTGGCAAGACAGAATAATTGAGTGATCTGAGGAGATGGCAATGATAACAACTACCAGGTCTCAAGATATGCATCATGAACAGCTCGTCCAACAGGGAGATGATAGTCCGTATGTGAGTACGTGATTATCAAGTCTCTTCTTAAAGCAGTCCACTGAGAGGACTGTGTTCACCTCGGCTGGCAGAGCATTCCAAGTTGAGACGACTCGCAATGAGAAAAAGTGTGCACCAATCTGAGTATTTGCTCTTTGATGTGCAATCTTTCCAGGATTGCCTCGAGGGAAGTGGTGGTGATGCATCGGTAAGATGCTCACATTGGGATGGTTTGGCGTGTTTAATATGGTGTACGCCATAATCAGGTCACCTCTGATTCTCCTGTAGCTCAGTGGGAATGATCCCAATAGCTGGAGTCTATCGTCGTTCAATCGATCTTAGTTTGGACACTCGACTGCACTTACTCTAATCAGTTGGCACTTATTTATAAACTTGTATGTCCAACGATTTGAGTGCGTTCTTCTCAGGGAAGTAGGGTTTCTGGATACTAATAGCTATCTCAAAACCAGACCAGAGATCAGATAGTTGGAGAATAAGAGGGAGAAAACCCTTAAGCCAAAGAAATGAGCGAAATTTCAGAAATGAGTAAACAGATGAACGATTAAGCTAATTAACTGGCAATGAAGATTTTATGAGGGGGTTGAGATGTAAGCGAAGCGGAGGAAACGAAGATAATAAGCGAAATAGACTAAATTAATGATCTGAGGTTATGACAATAACAACAACTAACAAGTATGGAGGCACACATCGGGTACAACTGGTGCAAGTGGAGATGATAATCCGCATATTAATACGTGTTTATCAGTCAAGTCTCTTCCTGACTGTGGTCACTTCGGTTACGAGAGCATTCCAAGTTGGGGAAACCGTAAATGAGAAAAAGTGTGCACAAAATTCAATATTCGCTCTGATGTGCAATTAGTCGAGGGTTATCTTGAGGGACGTAGTAATAACGCTTCGTTAAGATGCTTATGCTGTGATGTTTTGGTGTGCCTAATATGTTGTACACCTTTTTTCGAATCACCTTTAATTCTTCTATACCTCAGAGGGAATAATCCCAAGTGTTGGAGTCTGTCTTTCTATAGTTTATTCTCCGCAAGATATATGTTTTACTTTGAGGAGAGATGATGCGACGACATTGTGAACTTCAAGGTGTGTCCGTGTGTATGTTCTAAAGAGAGTTAGGAACAACTGTGGAGTGAATGCACAACGTTGCCTTCACATGAAACGAAGAATTGCTTTAACATTGACTGCATCTCCTATGTATTTAGAAGTGATGTTTAGGTTTTCTGGAGTTATTAGACAGTAGTCGTGCTCAGAAGAGATATTAGAGAGCGGACTTCCAGTGTGTGAGTATAAACGGATTCATTACTTTGAGCTTGTTTCTAGCTGTTTCGCTAGAGGTTCCAGGTATTTAGTAATTTTCGATGGATAATGTTTTAGCCACCCGACAGCACTAATTCCAGTCTTTTGGCAGTTAATAATCAATTTGTATGACCTATGATTTGAGTAATTGCGTTTGTCTCAGGCTAGTATAGAATATTCAATGTCTTCGTCACGACCAGGGTATAAACCGATTGGTGTATCAAACTTCACTTATAGTTGGTCGAATTTATTTACTTCACGATTGTTAGGCTTCCAGGTAAATTAATGGATCTTTTATTTTCCATCGATATGAATCTTGACTCTTACCTTATTTGGCTTATAATCATGTCTCCTTTAGTCTAGCGTGTTCTGTAATCAAGCATAATCTTCATCAAAGACGCATACGCGTTCAATTAGTGAAATATACTTTAAATAATACTAGTATCTCACTTCGTATTTCATTTATTTGTCCTTGGTCATTGAGTATAGTAAAACGAATATGACGACTGATCATGCTGCTGCATTGTTAACAAAGGTACTCTAACATCAAGAGGAATAGGACAAAGAATATAAACAGTATCAACAAACTGAGGGAAGAATATACTTGAGGCAAAATGAACAGTAGCTTTGCATACTGCTTGAATGTGTCCTATCTTCCCACATCTAAAACATTTTGTATTACGAAATACACATGAATTACGAGAATGGAGTTTTCCACATGATAAACATTTGTCAAATTTTGTCTCACCTTTGTGATTTCTTTTGTAATTCTTTATTGAAACACCGTTCATATTTACGCGAGAATAGGAACCTCTGTTA